GTCTCCCTGTTGCAACACACCTGATTCAAATGATCAGACCATCAGCAAGGTCTGCGGAAGCCTGATATTGAACCAAAACATGGAATGTGGGAGGAAAACGGAGTACCCAGAGAAAACCCACGCTGGCACGAGGGGAAGATGCAAACTCCACACAGGGAGGTTGAAGCTGCAATCAAACCCTGCACTGCTGCACTGTGAGGCGGACGTGCTGACCAGTCGTCTGCTGTGCCGCACTGATAAATGTTGTGTTTGTAGAATATGAGTTAAGCAGTAAAATCCACCCATTTTTGTCCATCTCAGGGGGCAATCATTTTGCCATTTGCTGTCGACTGAAAATGACATGACAGTTGCTCAGGGCTCAGGTAAAAAACAATCATGGCTCAGCTTCAGAAAACAGGTGAGCCGTGATTGGTTGTAACCTGAATCCTGAGCAACCGTGATGTGATTTTTAGTTGATAGAAAGTGGCAAAATGGCCGTCCCTTGAGATGGCTAAAAACGGACAGAATTTGCTGTTTAACTCGTATTCCACAAACGCAATATTAATCACAATGTCAAATTTCAAATTCTAATATGGAATAAATAAGAGAGCTATTGTAAGCATTTTCTTGGTACCAAACCCCTGATTACAGTCACTTTAACAGTAGTTGAATCAACCGTCATTCTTGACTTCTTTATATGGTTTCAATCATAACGGCTCTTCAAGGGAAACTGGAACTAAAATGTGTTAGACACCTCTGCTGAAAACCAAAGCCGTAATAATTGCGGATCTGTGGGTGGCAGTAATGAACTGCTTGAGTTTGCAAACCGCCGTCAGATTGTACAAGAAGAAGAAGAGGGGAACGAGAAAGAGGAGCAGAAGGAGAAAGTGCAGAAAGACTTGGCGTGAATCAGACCGCCAGGGTCCCCGCCTTTGGCTGCTGCCCAGCTCACATTGCACCCGACCCCTTTGGCCCCTCCCATGGGTGGTGAGCCCGTGGGAAGGGGGACCCACGTTGCCTCTTCGGGCTGAGCCCGGCCGGGCCCCATGAGTGTAGGCCCGGCCACCAGGCGCTCGCCAACGAGCCCCGCCTCCAGGCCTGGCTCCAGAGGGGGGCCCCGGTGACCCGCGTCCGGGCAAGGGAAACTTCGATCCATTAATTGTACTCGTCATAAGGGGTCTTTGAGCCGTGCTTTGTCTGGTCCCTCACCTAGAACCTGTTTGCCATGGGTGACCCTGCCAGGGGCATAAAGCCCCAGACAACTTAGCTCCTAGGATCATTGGGACACACAAACCCCTCCACCACGGTAAGGTGACGGCTCACGGAGGGGGATTTGTTGGTATCCACACTCAAAAATGTAGTTGATATCTGCATAGTAATTTTATTTGATGGGGATTTCTTGCGTTCACACATTCTTTTGTGGAAAGAGATGTTCTCTTACACCTTGCCAACAGTTTCAGTTGTCATCCCAAAAAGAACAGATAATCAGAAAAAATATGTATCTTGAAACTAAAATACTTTGTAACCAAGAAATGACACAAACATGGATGACAACTATTTCATTTGAAGTCCTGCGTTGTTGACGGGCCGGCTTTTACACGCCCGTTTTCATACGTCACCTTTGAAGAGCCACAGAACTTATGCAGAGGATACATCAGCCGTCCCTCGATTCAAGCAAGGCAGTGGAAGCTCTTCGATGCTTGCTCTTTGCACCTCGAAGAACATTATGACACTCCTTAATATGGTGGCGCAAGATCAACTTCTGGGTCACATTCAGTGTTTTAAGGAGCGATGAATTAGGAACATTGCAAATAAAAGACTTGAGAGGAGCCCTTATTCTGGTATTTTTCACGAATCCCCATTTCATGTTATTTCAGCAGTTAACCTGGTTTATTTGTCTTCTTCTGTTCTCTCTCCTTGCTTGATGTTTTTTTCTGATTACTCTCGTCCTCCTTGAGTGATAATCCTAGTCAGAAATGTACGGCTCTGTCAGGACAAGGCTAAGCTTAGGACCTAGCATTAACAGGCATTCTCAAACAGTCGGGAGAGCAGGTAAAATAGGTGATTCTCCAAACTAGATGCATAACTAGTACAGTTGGCAGCTCCATGGTCAGACGTGCTTGAAGCCGTTTCGCACCGAAACATATATAGCGACTTCAACAAGTGTTTTCATGATTGATCGCTAGAGTCCAAATCCGTATTATAGGTCTACCGAAAAAAAATAAGAAAAATGTTAATTTTATAAACAAATCGTAGTTTTTTTATGGGGCTCCAATCAGTGAAGGAATTCTTCTAGAACTAAATGTCCTGTGTAATGTAAGACCTTAATTGATATTTTATAGAAGCGATGTCTCTTAAACATTTGAAGTGGATGTTTCTAGTAATGATGTTGGTGACATAAAGATGATAAATTGACATTCAATTACAGCCAAGATGATCCCCACATACAGTTACCCTGTACAGTATGTTCACAACTCTCCTGTCAGTGAAACAAATGGTCACTCTTTCGTCATTTTGTCATTATTACTGTTACACACTCTCAAATTGATACTAGACTGAAACTTGGTTCTCGCTTCACCAGGCCCACCTACAGACAGAATTTGTGTCTCACTTAGGGAAGAGATCATTTTACAGTGACAAATCAATTTCTTACTTACCCTGTCAGCTTTCTCTTCAAAACAAGCTCAGGTTTTAGAGCGCAGATTATCATTAATCCACTGAGATCTGGACGCCGGCTCTCTTTCTATATTTCACTCATTTTTTCAAGTTTTTATTACACCGAAAGGTGACGCCAGAGTTTATTTTTTTCCTTTAAAATGGTGGTTTTCAAATTTGTCAAGGCAAATTTAGTGATGAGGTCAAAAGTTTGTGACTTGTGGACTTCTATTTAGCCTATGAGAGCGAAAATGTATTAAATTAAATCAATCTATCCATCCATCCATCCTTTTTCTGCAGTGCTTACCCTCACTAGGGTCGCAGATGTGTTGTAGCCTATCGCAGCTGACTTTGAGCAAAAGACAACCTAAACTGGTCACTAGCCAATCTCAGGGCAGATGTAGTCAAACACCCATTCACACTCACAATCACACATAAAATAAATCCATCTATTTACTTGAACCACTAATTCAATGGGTTGCGGGAAACTGGAGAAAATCCAATAGCGTAGAAGCATGAGACAAGGGGAAGTTTCGTAGTTATTAGTTTCTTTCTTCTTCTGCTCATGATTATGTTTCCACTTTTCAAACCCTCCATATAATATTGTTCAGTTATTCCCGTTTTTTCACGGCCTTCTGAATAAGGATTGTCAGTCAGCATGGAAAGATTACTCGCTTTGTACTTTTTTGATCATTTATTGAAGCGGCAGCAGCAACAGAGTAGCAGAAGCAGATAATAACCTAAAGTACACATAAATGCAACAAAAATGAATATATCTATCTTTATGCATCACAATGTAAATGTATATAATTGACATTAATTTAATACCTTCATCTTAACAATAACTTGAATAAATAATTTAATAAACTATAATTTTACACTATGTATTATTATCGTCATCATTATTCATCGTCTAAACGTAAGAAACTATACAACAGAAACATACCAAGTGGAATCGAACAAAAGGACTACAAGTTCCAACGGTCAAACCCGGAAGTGGAGCGCCGGCACGATTAACTCCAGCCGTAACGCAAATTACTCAATTTAAATATTCCAGTGCAGCCGGACAAACATGACATGACAACGATGCAAAAAATAACTAAATAAAGACACCGCTGTGATTGCAAGACTTTTGCCCACGCTGTTTAAACTGCCGATTGCGAACAGTAAGTAACTGTGATTGCGATGCGGCAAACATACATCACTACGGACCCAAGACTTCGCAAACAAACAAGCAAAGCAAGCGAGCACGATTGAATCTAAAAGATAACTATACATATCTGACAAAGATGAGCGCCGCGGTCACAAACGTAGCTCACCATTGGGCCATGCTGACGACGAAGTGAATGATTATTTTTTATTAAACGAAACAAGCTGCGATGCCGCTTTTTATAAGTCAAGCGAACGGTCACCTGTCAGTGGCAGCCCCGCCCCTCTTAAAGCCCCAGGTAAACTCAACAAATATCGACGAAAACTATCGATCCACTCAATCAGGGATGTCAAACTCATTTCACATTGCGGGCCACATACGGCCTCGGTAGATGTCAAGTGGGCCGGACCATTAAAATTAGACCATACACTGCTATAAATAACCAAAATAATATGTCTTTCCTTTGTTTTGGTCTAAAGAAGCACAAGAACATTCGGAAAATGTTGAAATTTAATGAATATATCTTTCACAAAACATTTCATAAAGCACCTTAGATTTCCTGAGACAAATGTGCAATTTACTTTTATCATTCACATACAGTATATGCATTGCAACTGATCCTACTGATTGTATGTACAAAGGCACAAAACTTAAAACAAGTAATTCGTATTGAAAAATATAGTCATGCATTTTAAGATTAAAAGAGATTTATAAAGAAAGGAGTTTTTAAGCCATTTACAGATGTGCATATAAAATCTAAATTTAATCCCTGCCTCCACGTTACAAACTAAGGAGAGTGCTATTAAATGTGTAAAGAATATTCACGTCCTTGACAGCGTCTGCTATGTTGGGTCTGTCTTAGTGACAGACTGAGACTACTGTCTTCTTCTCTGGTCAAAACAATGTTGTCTTCTACTCTGATCAAAACAGTGTGTGCCCTAGCGGATACTCCATGAATTGCACCTTATTAAAAATATTCATTCCGTGTCTTTTATGCATTTTTTCACTTTTAAATGATCCTGCATGCCTGATCGAACCTCCTTGGGGGGACGGTTCCGGCCCGCGGGCCATATGTTTGACACACCTTCACTAAGCGGTAAAATTATGACATTTTATATTCTAGATGGATTTCCAATAAAATACTGTATGCCCAAGGTGATTCATTTATTATTTTTTTTTACAAACAAATGAGCTTCACATTAGTCACCGAGGTGTAAAGGTTCACTTGCCTATCTTCCATGCAGACAGCATGGGTTCATTTCCTACTCACTACGAAGGTGAAAGTTGTTGGTCTCTTTCTGTGTCCTTGCGATTGACTGGCGGCCAATCCACAGTGTAGTGTGCCTTTCCTCGGAAGTCAGCTGGGATAGGCTCCTGCCTCTCAGGCGCCTGATCAAAATACACAGTGTAGAAAATGGATGGATATGCTTTATATGGTGAGAACATTACAGTATTAAAAAGCAACAAAGTAGGCCTTGTCAACACTCCGCCTTCACGTGTTTATTGTCAGTATAAAATCTAAAATGATTGTGAAGGATATCTAATTCAAATGTTCCAGGTGTTTTAAAATAAATCAGTTCAATGAACTACCTTCAACCTCAGCGGGTGAAACATTTAACCAATTTCTGTCCAACAGTACACACACAAAAAGAACTACGGTATGACAACATTGCACAGCAGATATGGTTCACCTTAAGTACTATGATTTGTGGGACTTTGGGTGGTCGCAATGAGAGCCAAAGCAGCTCTGTCCAGAAGCTGTCATCTGAAGGATAATAGAACTAAGACGCAAATCATTCATGTTGTCCCCTGTTAGAAAGAGGAAGGCAAGAAGATTTCCTCGAGTTGACCGCGTCCTTTCATCCATCCATCCATCCATTATCCGAGCCGCTGATCCTCATGAGGGTCGTGGGGGTGCTGGAGCCGATCCGAGCTGACTTCGGGTAGTAGGCGGGCTACACGCTGACCTGGTTGCCAGCCAACTATTCACATTCACAATCACACCAAATGACAATTTAGAGCAGGGGTCGGGAACCTTTTTGACTTAGAGAGCCATGAAAGCATCTTTTCACCATCTACTTTGTTGAAGGGTTAGCTTTGAGCTAATGACCGAGCAGACTGATTCAAAAGGGGGCGTTCACCTGTTTACCCAGCAACGGCCAACGTAGGCCAGTATCACCCAATTAAAATTGCTCCTGCCGCCTACTGCAGCCCTGAACAGGGACATGAGCAGTGAAAAATCGATGGATGGATTAAAACAAGTGAGAAGATTTTGTTTTATCTGCGAGCCAGATGCAATCATCAAAAGAGCCACACCTTGAACTAGTTGCCAGCCAATCGCAGGACAGGAGTAGACAAACAACCCTTCACGCTCACAATCACACCTGGGGACAATTTAGAGTGTACCATTAACCTACCATGTATGGTTTTGGAATGTTGTAGGAAACCAGAGTACCCGGAGAAAACCCACGCCGGCACGGGGGGAACATGCAAACCCCACACAGGAAGGGCAGAACTCGGAAACAAACCATGGACTTCTGCACCGTGAGGCGGCCGTGCTAACCAGTCAGCTGCCATGCCACCCAAGTTGACAACTGAAGTGTTTTTATTTATAGCTCTTTGCTGGCTAAAGTGCACAAAATGCAAATAGAAATGCTCCTCTGTTGTTTCAGCTTCAACATTAGGGTTACACCCTGGACAGGTCGCCAGTGAATCGCACATTTAACCAAACACCCATTCACATCTACTGACAATTGACCTTCCTTATATAATTTCGGAATGTGGAAGTAAGCTGCGGCACCAGGAGAAGACTCGCCCAAATCAAAGGAGTTACTTTGTGACCATTGTAAGGTCATTTTGACAGGGTCGCAATTGCCAGGGATCAATGCCATAACCTGTGGGTTGGAAGACGACCACTCTACCACTGAGCCATGCCGCCCCGCATGTTTGGGTCAAATGCTTCAGATGAGCAACAAGAATACCGATGTAATCCTTCAGTATCTCGATAAAAGTAACCTGATAACTTTATGTTTATAGATTTGATTGGGAGTCAACTAATACATAGGAAGTATGTGGTCGGGAATAGGTCACTTTCGCAGTAAATCCAGACAAAGCCTTCGTAGAAAGGGTTCTGTCAGTCGTCATCTGTACCTGTGGGTAAAAAACAAAAAACAAAAAAGGACGTTTCGCTTCTCTCACAGAAGCTTCGTCAGCGGTAGACAACCCTGAAGACTCCGTGAAGACTCCGGGAAGTTGCTCTGCGCTAAAAAGCTGAGCGTGGCCTATTTGAGGACTGGGTGGGGATGGTTAGTCACGCCCCTATGGTGAAGAGGCCCATTGATTTCTAAATTCCCTATCGTTGGGTCTTGATTAGGCCTATTGTTTGGGCTAGGGCTGAATAGCTACTTTCAGTTGGCCTGATCAGCATGTCTATGTCCCTTGGTGGTCAACAAGTTATTGTAAATAGGAGACAGGTTAAATCTGATACCTGCTTCACGGTTCAGAGAGGGTGAAAATTTTTTGAACAAAAATCGCTTCCTTTACTCCCCTTTCAAACCATCTCTTTTCTGTTCCTAGGATTTTTACTTGTTCATCTTCAATTGTGTGGTTTGTTTCTTTTAAGTGTGCGTATACTGCACTTTTGTTATCATTGTTTGGAACTTTCCTGTACGACTGAGAGCCTCCACAAGCATCAGACAAAGCCTTGAAAACAGACTAACTGGTTGTTTTTACAATGACTGTGAAAAGCTATCAAAACAATGGGCAAATGCCAGAGTAATTGAATGCGTATGATAGGCACATGCTGACATTTTCATGACTTGCTTTAATTTGAAAAGGAAATAAAGGCCTAACATTCAATTTTCAGACTCACCATGCAATGAAAACAAAATCTCCCAGGGAGAATGACTCAATATATGAAAGACACCTTTCCAGGAAGGAGTAATTAATTGAATCCAGCACATGTGAACCAGAGAAAAATATCATCCATTTTACCTCGAAACCAGAAAAAGTCATACTGTTTTCGCATCTGACCTACTTTGTTTAAGTTGACTTTTGTCGTTCTTTTGCACGTTGCCATGTTTGGACAGGTGAAAGAATGTAGCTCAACAAATTCAAAGCCACTTAATTTACATACCACATAGCCTAGTCAAGTTCCTTCGTGCTGTGAACAAGACAATGGCAACAATGTCGCTTGGTTTCGCATTTGGCAGAGCAATGTGCCCCCCCCCCATACACCCCCCAAAAAATCTTTTTTTTTCTTCCTGAAATGTTTGCGTTATAAATATACACAGTTTTCTCACACAGGAGCAAGAACTAAAACAGCCCTATATGGTCAATAGTGACTCATCATTGGAGATTTGGAGGACCCTTGACTCGCACTGCGTGCTAGCAGTTGATTCCACACTAATGGACGAATGCGCTGCCTTTCTGAAACATCAAATGGGAAAGGTGTGGTATAAAATCGACTCAGCCCACCTCCTACACTGTAAGCTTCCTTCTGTCACTCAAGCTTCACTCTGTTCTCTCAGGGCAAATACACTTCTATGTCAGAGCCAGCAAGTGTGAAGTGAGATTAGAAAAGGAGGGGATGAAGGATGATAACGGACAGGGAAGTGAAGAAAAACAAGCGTTATTTTGGTAGTGTATCACAGTCCGTGTAAAAAATCTGGGTTTGCGCATCAGCTCTCCACATACACTAATAGCCTTTGTTTGTCCTCAGGATATGTCAATCAAGTGCATACAATAAATGATGGACAGCTAGGTGACTGGAACCGGTGGATGAATTCCAAAGCCGTCCCTTTGAGCTGCCATTATCTTTCAGCGTCAGCTGCAGACCACAGGCCTACGCAGCATTACAGTGATCCCACTGGCATCTGGTATTCTCTTTGGAAATATGGACTGCACAGAATGACGCCTGCTACCTTTCTTTGACACATTATGTACAAAGGCGGCAAACAGAAGAAACACAGCATTCTACTTTGGTCGCCAATTTTGTTTTTAGTATCATTGACCTGATAATAATAATAATATATTTTATTTATAAGCGCCTTTCAAAACAGTCAAGGACACGATATGTATGCGAACAACAGACAGAAGGCATTGTATCGGTTGAGAGAGAATTGTGTGAGACATAATGTTAGATAGATACTGACAGTGGGTACTTTTGCTATTGCGTAACAGAAAAGCGCGCTTTTAAACTTTTTTCCAATTGAATGGGATATTAATGAGGGAATTTACCCACAACGACTTGTTGACAGACCTGCAGTATGCCTCTCCGCAAGGCATCTTAACCACTGTCATTTTTCATACCAAAAGAATGATACATGGTTGGGGCATGCCTTCAATTTGGAACACAAGTAGTTGGGTTTGCCACTCTAATTTAGGCTAGGACAGTCCTCAGCAAGCCTTTGAACCGATGATGCCTACTCGAAGTAAAGATTAATTGTGCTGACGGAATGCCCACCTCTGCAAACTTGCGTATTGTACATACATAATGTACAAGATCGATATAAATCACGCTGGCAGTCAGTACCTTCAGGTCAGTAATCCAATCTTTCTATTGTAATTTATAAGGATGCAAATCTCCAATTAAACGCAATTTCCCGCGTACTTGCTTGCCTGCCGAAAGTCTTCGTGCACATCTCCATCACTACAAATTGTCAAAGTCCACTTGAAACTTCTTCTCGAGTAAACTAATTAAAATATTTCCACTTATTTAGTATACCGGTGCTTGCAAAGAAAAGGCAACGCTAACTGCCAGTGTGGTCCATCGCAAGGGATTGTGAGATATATTACTATTTTTAGCACAAAGGTCGGGGCACCCTATATTTTGTATTTTATGGGCTTCTCTCGGTGTCTCTATTTGGAGAGGAAAACGCCATCACCATAAAATCCCTAATTCTTCGCAGAGTCACTCTAATATTTTCAGAGATGGGATGTGAGCATAAGTAAATATATCAACATAAATTTTGTACTTTTGATTGCAGTTTTCAGACATTGGGGGGACTTTTACTTCCCTACATTTAGACTGTTGCGGCACAATACGGCAAGTGAGGACATATTAGGACAGACATACTACATTAGTATTGGAAACTAAAGAGCCATTTGAACGCATTTCATATAAAAAAAAAAGAAAAAAGTCAGGGTGCCACAAACGCTTTGGACATCTAAAATGAAGATTGATTTTCCTCTCGGTTTATTAAATTTCTGCTGCAGAAATCCGTTGAACTGGGCAGACCATTCGAAGTGATATATTAGCCCATTCATCACATTTGGATGTGTCCATTGTATACGCCATAAAATTGTCAAATATTTGTAAATTTGAGTTGGCGTGAAATAATACAATCAAAATCTGTGTTTCTGTATTAATCCAGTGAATGATTGCTTGA